TTCACACAGGACGTGCAGCTTCTCCACCAGTACCTAGAGAAGAAATCAGTTGAAGCTTCTGAAAGCCTAAAAAATCACGAGTCTTCACAGACATATGCAGAACTTGCCAAAGTGGCACTTGCACAAGTAATAATATTCAACCGACGTTGTGCAGGAGAAGTCTCAAAAATGACGCTGGAGTGCTTTAAGAAAAGAAACCAGACTGAGCTCCACGAGGACATAGCTCTCGGTCTCTCTCCATTTGAACAAAAAATGTCCAAGCATTTCAGCAGAGTAGAAATCATGGGCAAGAAAGGGAGAAAAGTTGCTATTTTGTTCAATCCTGAACTTGTCAGAACCATTAAACTTATTGTGGAGAAGAGAGATGCATGTGAAGTAGACGGGGACAACCCCTTTCTATTTGGAAGACCAAAGTGCTCACCCACCAGCTTCTTCAGAGGACAGGACTGCATCAGGCTTTTTGCAAGTCAGTGTGGTGCGAAGAACCCAGAACATCTCAGGTCTACACAGCTCCGCAAGCAAGTGGCAACAATGTCCCAGATTCTCAGTCTTAAGGATAACGAGCTGGACCAACTTGCCAACTTTTTGGGCCATGACATTCGAGTCCATAGAGACTATTATCGGTTGCCAGATGCAACTATAGAAATTGCAAAAATCTCAAAGCTGCTACTAGCAATGGAAAAAGGAAGTCTCGCAAGATTCCAAGGAAAACCTCTCGATGAAATTGAGATTGAAGGTATGTGCATAGTTTTATATAATAAGAATAATAATATAAAATATTTCTGTAAATAATAAAATATTTCTGTAAATAATAGAAGTTTAGGAGCTATATGTGTGTACTTTAATGCACGTGTTTGGGTGTTTGTCAAATATGCTTTTCTATAGATGAAATTGATCTGGAATTAGACGATGAAGAAATAAGTGATGAAGATGATGAAGAGTCAGATCCTGCACATGGAGTAAGGGGTACGTAATGAATTTTATTCCAGTGTGCATCAATGGGATTGTGTGTTCACTACAGAACTTACCACAGGAGGCCCACTACAGACTTCATACAGGCTTGCATGTGGTCTCCTTCTAGTCAAGGGGTGCCCAAACTCGGTCCTGGAGGGCCGGTGTCGTGCAGAGTTTAGC